CAAGATTCAGTGTGATGTATGATCAAACAAGTACAAGATGTACAGCAGACATTTCAACCCAGAAATGTTCAAATGTGATCTCCATGATGAGTTAACAAGTAAGTAGTATTTGTCAGCAAACCTGTTGATATGTCGAATTAAATTCAATTGCTCTCATTCAAATCAGCTGTTCAGGTGACATCACAGGCTATGGCGCAGCAGATCCTCCAAAAATGTAACGTGAAAATGTATTTTTTTTTCTTTTAGGTGTGATTTACCAGAGCATAACAACCAATGTAAATAATAGAACAATTTTGTTTATTTTCACTTTTTTATTTAAAAAAAATAAATATGAGTGTATTTTAAATGGTTGGCAGGTTGCTCTTTTTTGCAATACTTCGATAAAGTATCTAAAAACAAACAATGCCTTGTATGTGTAGTTTTCATGAAAATATATACAATTTAAAAATTTGCTTGGTCCAAAGCACATTTACAATATAATAGGGCTGGTTCAGTGCCTCGTTCTGAGTCACAGACAATGACGGCAAAATGGTGCTACTGTATGCATCTTTTGAAACTTCATCTCTTTTGTGATGGAAATTGGAGGCTATACTGTACATGTTACCGTGTACTTGGTACTTTGAGTTGGGTTTGAAATGCACTCATCGTTGCCGATTCATTATACTGTATCTCGGAAATGTAAAAATTGCATTGTCAGAACATATGTTTATCTATACATGCAATTAAATTCCTAATTCAAAGATTTTCCTCTTTGTTTCTGCATTCCTGTTGACTTATGTTCATAAAGTTTATCTGACATGTCAATCTGACATGGTCTCCCAGAAAATAATGTTGTCTCTATCAATGAATGTGTAGATTTGTAGATTTCCTATCAGACGTGACATTGAATATCATGTCTATTCATTCAAGACATGTTTCCAATCAATATGCAAACATTTAATGAATGTTAATTCATAATTCCAAATAACCAAGGATTTAGTGTGGGTGAAACCACCCTTATCAAAAATTATATAACTTTAAAAATTCTAATAAAAGTAAATATGAATTTAGGACACAAGCACAAATAAAATGCAACTTTATTATATGTTGTGTGTGAAAATAAAATACATTGAAAAACTGAGAAATGTTGACTTTTTTAAGTAAAAACAGAAACTTAAAAAAACAAGTTTCTATATTTTATTTGACTTTATGGGTCTTCATGACACCACACTGTCATTGAATTTTGTTGTATGGTTGGACCTCTAGTGTTTGGAAAGAGAAGATACAGAATTATGTTAAGTTTATATAATAACATAATCATCACATGAGAATAATAATTTGTATTTAATATTTGCAATAACAATACAGTGCTTATAAAACCAATGATTTGTGTCCATTAAGATTATTACACAGCACTGAGTTAAACATGTTAGTGAAGACAGCTTTTTTCTATTTGACATAATTGTTTTGAATATATGCATTTCACAATCACTTTGTGTAAGTATAACTGTGTTTTAAAATGAAAAAAATAAAAAATAATTTTACATTTAAAAGAATATTGAGAGAAAAAATCATTCATTTTTGCTTATTGATCAGAAGCTAAATGAATCTTTGATACCTGGAGTGTTGCCCTATTTTCTTGATAACAGAAAGGACAATATTGGTCACATTGTCCAAAATGTAATCTTTCAGAAACAGAAGGAACAGCCTGCTGGGATGGACAGATGGACTAATTCCTGCCTGAGTACCTTTTTTATGAAGATTGTTTACTTTCAAAAACAATATTTTTCTCCGGATTTTCATGCTGAGATGTATCATTGCAAAGGTCTGATTAGTGCCTGCTGATTTTAGACAAACAGGCCAAACAGGCCAACAGGAAGCTGAGCAGGCCAAAAAATAAATCAGAGCTGCAGTGGGCCAATGTGTTCACGCACCTCAATGTTTTATAACTATCCATCCATTTTTTAACTGCTTTGTCCAATACAGGATTGCAGTCGAATTGGAACCTATCCACTCAAGTAATGGTCACAAGGCAGTGTCCATTACAGGATGAGATGCCAGTCTATTGCTGGGCACACACAACAGGGCCAATTTTAACCTACCAGTATGTCTTTGCGCTGTTGGAAAAAAACAGAGCACCAGGAGAAAACTCACAGAAACACTGGGAGAATATACAAACTCCAAGCAGGTAGCACACCAGGTCCGGAATTGAACCCAGGATGCCAACACTGTAAGGCAGCAATGCTAATTCCTGTGGCCATTTTATAACCACTAAGCACTATTTTATTAATACTCTTCCTTCTAGTGGTAATTGAACAGCTATATACCAGTCGTAACCACGCTATTTAACAAATATGGAAAATGGTCAATGATGGTTAATCCCTAAAGAAAGCATTTGCAAGAGATTAAACATGGTAAACGTGTAAAGATATACTGTATCTTTACCATTTTTCTTTTATATATAGACTACAGGGGTGGCCAAGATGTTCTGACTTTTTGTCATGAGACATATACAATAAACCTGTTATTTCTTGAACAAACAGATTGGCATAATACAATTTTGTGAGTTTTATACACATACTGTATAAATTTTCACAAGAGTTCATCCCCATTCAAAAATGATCAAGGTAAAATCAACTTTCTTTCCTTTATCTCTTTATGTGGTATCAACACTTTAACTACAAGGTTCCCACTGTGGCCACAAATAACTGCTGTCACTTGTTTTGTGGAAACTCCTGGTGCATTTTTGGTTCAGGAGGAGCAGTGTGTCTGCTCATTTTCATTACAGCTCAGCAATTGTACATTTTGTACAGTTCAGGCTGTACAAACTAAACTAACTAAACAGAACCAATTTAGAAACCTCAGGTCCTGATGTTTAAAAGAAACTTTAATAAACAAACAAGCACATAGACAGGAACTCCCAGGACCAGGATTAGACACCCTAACACTGCACAGAGGCTACAATTTAATATTTTGCTGAATACAGAAAATTGTTCTCAATGGTTATTTAAAAGAAAGCGCTGAAAACCTATGTCATTTGTGTGGTCTAGTTTATGAATAAAGAGTTAGACAATATTAATTTGTAGTTGACAGGACAGCTAATAGGAAACTAAATAGAAATAAAAGTTGTAGCATGCTACATACTTTTCATTAGAAGTACTTTGAACTCAATGAGATTATGTGTTCCCACTAACAGATAGGAAAGCAACAAAAACAGAATGTTGAGACCTCTGCTGGACAATAGCATGGTTGCACATAAGTGGAACATCGAATGCAAAATGATGACTACAGCAGTGTTCATGTGACTGGATTCTTTTATTATTCTGTTGGGAATCTGGGTTTGATTTCCTTGTGAAGTGCTCCTTTGTCAAAATTGAATAAATTAAATGCCCTTAATTAAAAGATATATATATATTTTTTTAACTGGATAGGGGGCAGAATAGAGGAAATTCAACAAACATTTGTATTGTTCCCACACGATAAGTGAGGAAACACTAAACCTTTTGTTATTTATATTTATCTGCTCAAAAAAAGAAATACTTTGTTCAATATTCTTAAACTAGCAGCAGTGTGATTTAACCTGGTCAAATATGCAGTATAACAATAAATCACAGGCATTTAATTTTATGAATCTCTTTGTATGCCAAACATCAAAACAAAGCTGTCTTTCAGAGGAACAGATGGTAAATTTGTGCATTCACACAGCCTTCTTCATGCTAATAAGCCTTTTAAAGCACTTCAAAAGTGTAAAGGTGTGGCCCAGTGTTTGTTTCCCACAAATTTCCACATTGCTTTAGAAATGTCATTTTTTACACAATAAAAACATGTACTGTATTCCTCTAATTTCAAAGGATACTGTACAATCTGTGTTGAATTAACCAGGCAAGAGATTTAGATTTTTCCCTTATATTAATTTTGTACTTTTACAGAGTTTACTCCTTAGGCTGAAAAGTCTAAGGAGACTTAGACTACTAAGTAGACTTCTTAATACTGCAATTAGAGGAAATTGGGGAAAACATATGAAAGCAACAGCATTTAGAACAACATACTGTATCACTCACAATGCTGAGGGGTGTTTTTAGATCATCCCAAAATGTAAAGGAATACAATTACACCCAGTAAGCATATCCACAAACAAGAATAAAACTTTACAAAGAGATAAAAGGAAAAACAAATGTGGTGTAAAATAAAAGCTTTGCAAGACAAATGGTGTTCCACTTTTGTGACCAGTACATTAGTGTTGTTTTTGAATAGTGTTCTGCTCTTGCAGAACATCCATTTGTTTTATTAATTTTTAACAAGCAGAGTGTACTTTTTACTGCTTTTAAAATTAATAAAAAGGTCAGTTAAAAGTCAGATGCATTATAGCTTACCTTCTTCATCAGAAGAACTCCCATCCTATAATAAGGATAATAACCACACAGTTTTCAAAATAAACAAAAACAAAATCTGTGGTGCCTGCAGCGAGGCCATGAAAACCACATAAAAGCAGTTAATTGCAAGACAGCTAAATTTGTATTGAGCTCTACAAGCCCCAAGATTTGTGGAGAAAAGCACGTAACCCATAAATGCAGTCTATGAATGTGAAAATAGCACAAATGCACTCTGTCACGTTGTCCCCACAGCATTACAGAACATTAAAAAAAATACTAAACACATTTCACAGAGCGAGAAGATGTCTGAAAAGTGCTATGAGACACCTGTCCATTGCTTTATGGAGCATAATAATGATTTATTATTTTATCTGGCCTACTAGAAACTCAAATATTGTCTCCAAAAATGCATCGTGCTTAGGCCCAGCCTGAAAATTGGCCTGTATCCTAGGTAAAGTTGTTTTCCAAAACAAACATGAAACTCCACAACTCTTTTGTGTAGTTTTGGGATTAGTCAGGAAGTGCTCTCTTATCTACAAGCAAAATATGGAATCTTGGCAGTTAGCTTCACTTTTAAGCTGTTACTTCTTGAGAACATTGTTAATGTCATGTAGCCAGACTTTAAGGTAACAATCTTAATAACAATACCTTTGGTTTTTCATCCAGGATTTGCTGACGGATATCCTTGTGCTTTTCTAGAAGCTTCTCTTGTCTTTTACTTTGAGCATCTTCTAGCTACAGGGAGTGTGAAGAAAAACAGCAGTGCTGCTTAACAGCGTCAAATGCAATTTAATCTCATACAATTTCACATTACAAACTAATGATTCCAGAATTATTTGCAACACATGAGAAAATATTAAAATGTTCACCTTCAGTTGTTTGAATAAATACAATTTTAAAACATAATATGTTTGAAACATAAACACTTCAAATGTATACAGATACAGCCATTCGAAATACACATTACAACCCCGTACCGAGCAGAATTATCTACATTTCACCGAGTTGTACAGCAGTACGTGATTGGCTGGCCAAAATGACCGACAGGGGCACCCGTGGTGCATTGGTTGTTAGTGAAACGATTTAATCATTTAATCCCTTTACTGTGCATGTTTTAATCCACATAATATTGAATATGTACATGGAATTTTACAACTAAAGGGAAATTTTAGTAGCCGAGCATAAAAAGAAGAGGAGCATAACGCGTCTGAAGGTCATAAATGATATTAATTTAGGAACATAAACATATTCTGTAAACTGTATATGGCTGGTATTGGTAGTTTAAATAAAAAATACACACCAGTATTCCTTTCTTCCTAAACATTTTAAGCATCAAAGTCTTTCATTTGGTTACATACTGTGGTTATTTTTGGAAAAGTTTTTATGTGCTCCTTCTGCCTATCTTAAGTTTATATACTTCATAAAAAGTTATCATGTTTTAACCTTTTCTATGAATAAAGTTTCAACGCATGAACACAGGAAAAAACGCATACTTTTTAGGATTTGAGTAATATGGAATATAATATGGAATCGCGTATCTAAAGAAATTGATAACGGTATTAATTTAAGGATCTAAATATATGTATTTATATAGCTGGTGGTATTACTGTAATCCACTTTCTTTGTAGACACGTTTTATTTTTAATTTGGCTCATTCATGTATGATGAATTGTGAGAGAGCGTTTTCTGGTGACAGCTCAAATGCTGTACATGAGAAGTTAATATTTATTAGCGCCACCTGGTGGTTTTACAAGGTGCTTCCGGATAATATTATCATATTTTAATTTGCATGCGGTAAAATGCGGTAAGATGCGCCACGCCTACCCCGTTTTAACGCAGCGTACTTCGCGCAATTTGAATGGCTGAATCTGTACATTGTATTCATATAGTTTAGATTACAGAAGACTTAGGACATTTATGGTTCATGCAACAGTTCATACACTACTTATTCATTTCAATATGTTCCTTCAGACAGTATGTAGTCCAAATGTGTTGTTGAGCTCACAGTTTCAAACAGTAAGACAAAAATCAAACACTCACCCGTTTAATGTATTGTACCACTTCATTAACATAAGATCTGTTAATTTCTAACTTCTCCCTGGAAGGCACAGAGTTCATGGTCAAAGTGATTCTTCAAAACAACAATTTAAAATCTTAAGGCTTAATTCTTTAAATTCTTAATTTAAACTTCGTTGGGTTATATGATTTTAATATTTTGAAAGGAGTTTATTTTTATATACCATTTTCAGGGTTAAGTCAAAATAAAACAAAACAAAACAAAACAAAATATTAACAAAACATTAAATTTACATTGTTTAATAATTATCATTATCTATAGGACTTCATATACCTACAATATCCACAAAATGCAACATTTAATTCTTGTTTTTGTAGAAAAATATTGGAAAGCAATTTGAAAAATAGAAAAGTGCATGGATAAATGTAAATAATGGAGAAACGTATTATTGTATATGTCTGTTACTATTACAGCATAGGCTATGCTGTTATCAGGAACTTTCTCTCAATTTATAAAACAGATCTATGACAATCTTTCAAATATTATCATCACAATTGCACTACAGCACCACCTAGTGGAGACTATTTTAATTTCTAACTGGAAAACAGGAAACTAACAGGAAAAGTCAGATCATGTTAGTAGAAGTGACAAGTTGTTATGAATTTATACAGCAGATACTACATTACATCATATTACATCCAGTTTCTATTATTTTCTCATACCTTCCCATACATAACATTTTTTACAAAACCCCCTGACTTCTCCTAAATATTTTTTCTTGAATCAATAAGTACACTTACATGTAATTTGTATTTCCTTATACTGTTGAGTTTTCTAACAATGAAGATACATGTATATACAGTTGTATTATACAGTATATTGTATTCACAGTAATTAACAGTCATGCACTACAAAAACTGGTATGTTCCTTTTCATCTGCGGAATGTCAAGGCTGCTTTTTTCAGGAATTGAAACCAGACACTCATAGATAAAGGTGTCATGTTGTGCCTTTGATCAGTCAGTGGGATTAAAGAACATGTCCTTAAAGCTCAAGGTCATCATGGCAGTAACATTCTAATGAAGGAACAGTTTCTCAAAGCACTGTGCATGTTATAGCTCAGGCGGCACAAAATAACTTAGAAGTGAATTCAACGAGTACATTGAGGAGTCCTATGTATTCTGATAATAACAAACCATATTTTTAATAAATAAAATGCACAGAAATACATTTTGCAGGAGTTAATCTTACTGTATTTAAAATAAGTATAACATGATGCATTTCCTAACAATAAGTTGTTTAAATTCCTGTTGTAGACCAGTACACTTAAAGTATTTATGTAGACAAGAATTTATGTCCCATTCAATTTCACATTCTCTATCTATATCACCCATTTACTACAGAACCAAAATAATTTCCTTTTCCATATGTGGACTAATAAGACAAACGAGGGGAGGCCATTCAGCCCTTATTGCCCATTTGGTAGTCAGTAGCTTATTGATCTCTGGATCTCATCCAGCTGTTGTTACATCACGGTCACCTGCAGAACAGTGCCGTGGGTTTTTGGCTTCTCCGTGTATTTCCAAACTGAGCTGTGGAAGGAGATGCACAGGTGGCAGGCTTGTTGTGAAAGGCTGCTCAGGGAATCAGGCAGTAAGGCTGACAGGAACAGGGCTTGGCGAAGGTTCAAATAGATGTGGTCGAACACAGAGCTGTCGAAAGCTCACTGTCAGAGCACTGGTAAAGCTGTGAATCAAGCCTTTAGGAATAAAGAACTGAACTATTTAAGTTTTGAACAGATACCTTGTACAGGTACTCATAATTGTAAATGACATTGATAAATAAATGCAGTGACAATGACACTATGTGGAAGTGTATCTATAACCAAGAACAGGAGGCACTATTTATTCAAAGGGTTACAGGAAAATGGAACAAACTTCCCAGCCATGTGGCTGAAGCTACCGTATGTACAGTATCTTGTTGCTCGTCTCTGTACTGACTCCAGAGAAATATCATTTTTGTCATGTGGTGACCACAATTGTACATGACATTCTAAATGAGACCTACTACATTATAGAATTTTAACATCTCTTGATTTGAATTCTACACTTCTGATTATATTGCAGACTTTTTTTCTCTATTTTTCTCTATGAACATTGTCTGGAAGATGTAAACTATTTGTCAACTTAAGGATCCACGACTTTTTCAAACATATCCTCTTTTAATCTATTTTTTTTTTCTCAATTTTGAATTTATAGTGTCTGTTTAACTACCTGCATATACAGTAAAACCATGTACTTGTCTACATTAAACATGACTGTGGCAGGCCATCAGCCACTGCGCCCTTAAGAAATCACGTCTGGAAGTGAGCTGGTGCTTTGATGAGCACTTATTTAGCAACCTGTCTTACTCCTCTGACAGGGGCTGTGGTAGATCACTAAAAGCAAAAGGAAAATCAGTTTTCCCTATCTTAACATTGATGGCAGAGTTTCCCATCCTACTGCCAGTGCGATGTGTTTGTGAGTGTGTTCACCTGGCACATACTGGGGCGTGGCAGTGGAGTCTAGCTGGCACTGAGGTACAGGTTTGTGTGACATATGCGTTGTGTGCAGCTTCAGTGCCTAAGGCGCTGAAAGCCAATGAAGTTGATAACATATAATTGGAAGGAGTCCACTGTGTCCTTTGGGGATCTGGGAAAGAGACTGATGTCTGCAGAGGCTGGTGGCTGCATTTCATCTGTGATGTGGCAGGGCTGGAAAGTAGGGTGCTGTGGGCTCTGCAAACCCATGAGATTTTGTGGTGAAAGAAGACAGCAAGTTAAGGCAGCCACAGTCATCTTCAGAAGGGGAAACACTGTATGATCTAGGAGCCCGGAGGAGTTCTGTTCATGAGGGTATAATGAAAGCCAGGTTCCGGAGGCATTTCAATGCTGCCCCTGAAGTATCTGAAGATCAGAAAGCAGCAGCATGTTTGGAAGTACCTCAGCTCTATATGTGAAGAGTGGCAGAGAGTGCCAGACTAGTTGCTGGTTCTCTGATGGCGAGTGGTGTGACTCCACTGCAGTGACAGAGAATCGGGGACTACACCCCAGACTGGGAGATTGTGTATTGTGTATGACTCTAGTATTTATTTATTTTAAAAGAAATACTGATGTGTCCATACCAAAAAAAAATTGCCTTTGTAAATAAAATTCCTTTATAAAAATATTACTAATAATCTACTCATGGCGTAATAGATACAAGATTTCACATTAGATACCAAGTAGTGACACCAGAGGAACCAGTTTAATACGTACTCTTCAGTTAAGTTTTTCTCTCTGGATTTGGCCTCATTGATCTTTTCCTGTCTTTTTTTGTCCATTTTCTTCTTCAGGTCTTTTTTCTCCCTGCAAGTAAAAACCAGGTATTTGAGCCATTTAAATGTGTCAAATAAATTAAATACATTTAATGGGCCTGTTTGTTCATATTAGCTCACATTTTCTTCCCATTGAGATAATCCTGACCATCTGTGTAATCAGATCATCTCTTATTTTAGGCAGCTGTTTTTTTCATATCTCATGAGACAATGATGGAAGCACTCAAAAATATACCTGTATATCACGATTTATATAAAAAGCCCACAAATAAAGTAAAATACTCCACCCATACTGTATTTTTGTTATGAAGTGGCTTCATCTGGAGTGAAAAACTATACATTCAGAAGATTAAAATCCTGTTAATGAAGACCAAAATCCTATTAGTTGCAGCACAAATAAGGGTTTGATTTATTTTGCTTAAAATACATTTTTCATGACATTGTCTCTTACTTTTTAAATCTTAAATATCCTATTAATTGTAACCTACAACCTCCAATTAAAAAAGGAAAGAACAAAATGAAACTCATTACTTTTCACAGATGTCTTTTAATTTCTTCAGCTGGTTGTTCTGACACTCCTCAGCCACTGCAGTCAGCTTCTCAACCAACTGTGAATGTGAAAAAATACAGACAATGTTAAAAATCATTGGTTGATTCTCTTCCTTGAATTGGCTTTTGGGCTGACTTGCCAATTTAAATATAAATATAAAGGGAAAGTCATTAACTGCAAGATGTGTTTGCTTGCTCTTTTACTTGAATGAGCCTTTACTTTAGTAAGTGAAAATGGCACACGAAAACAAGGCATTGTGCTGACAGATTCTTTATTCACATTATTCCCTGTTTTAAAATGTCAGATGTTTGTAGCTGCACAGTCAATCCTTTTGTGTATTAAGCGGAACATTCAGATCTGCAAATAATTTTGAATGAGATGTTAGGTAGGTTGCAAGGTGGCACAACGGTTAGAATTGCTGCCTTGCAGCGCTGGCGACCTGGTTTCAATTTCTGACCTTGGATGCTAACAGTGTGGAATTAGTATGTTCTCTCCTTGTTTGTGTGGGTTTCTACTGGGTGCTCTTGTTTTCAACACAGTCAAATAACATAACTGATAATTAAGTTGGCCCTGATGTGAAAGTGAGTGCGTCTGTGAGTGCCCTGCAATGGACTGATGTTTCATCCAGAATGTACCCAGACTTGCGCCCGTTGCTTGCCAGCTCCCCCACAATCCTGAATTGAAATATCCCCCAAAAAACCCCACTTGAACTCATGACAGTATTTAAAAATACAATACAACATTTTATACTTCCTAATAATAAAGAATAATTTATTAAAAAGAATGACATATGCAATATCTTAAGCAACATACCTATAATTCAATTTAAAATGCTTCAAAAGACACCTGAGAGTTTGCATCTAAAGGACTGATTACATACAGTAGAGCTAAGAGCTTGATGCAATGTACCATATGGCTTCATTATGCAGTTATCTGATACACATACGCAATAATTGAAGATCAGCACTATTCTGTGCCCCTGGTGTGTTGTCATTTTACTGAGCACTGCAGAAGCAATTTGCTGAAGTCAAGCATTACAAGCCCCAACAAGCAATGGGCACAAGGTGAGATTCAACAGTCAAAGTGCACATACTGAATGTCTGAGCAATACAAGCTCAATGATAAAATAAAAGCTTTTTGAAATTGTATATTATTCATTTGTAAATTATTCTTTAATTCTTTAATAATAATTGTATTATTATTATATTATTGTATATTGTAAATATAAAGGAATACTAGAAGTATTTGTGTTACACTGACACACATTTCCCCCCCAAAACCACATTCTGAATGTCTGTGAACCTTGTGGTGTAGAACATACCTGTTTTATGTGTTCCCGTTTCTGATATTTCTCACTATAATACTGTTCCTGTCGGAGGTTGAGGAGCTGCTGCTGCTGCTGTTCCTTCAACTCTGTCAATTTCTGGCTGCTTTCCAGATCCAAAGCAGACAGTTCTTGTTCAATAGATGAAGGATTGTGATCAGGACTCGATGAAGTGCACCTAAAATGTAGACAAGAGATTAATTGAGCAGAATGTGAGCCATAAAGTCTTTGAATGATAGAAAATGAAAACTCTAATTGATATTCTGATATCATTTTTTCTGTTCATGCCACTTTTAATGGTACATTTTCTACAAATTGCTGGGCTAGAAAGTGGTAATTTAACAGTCTCCTGTGAAAACGGACTGTAACTGGGACCATTATATTGCTTAAAAACATATAAGACTGCCAGAGACAATGAAATTAACTTAACATGATACAAACCATGCAACACAAGTCATATGGCTCAGTGCTGTTTTCCAAAGCATAAAGCAGTCTGTGATCTTTGACACTAATGTCTTCATTTATATTCTCTGCCACAGCAAGGCTACTGCAGAGCACTGTGAGATTGGGTAATTTGATTCCTTTTGTACACGACAACCTATTTAGTGTACTGCAGTAGTGTACTGATATTACATTTGGAGTAAATCATTAAACACACAAGTAAAACAAAAATATATATATATATTTCTATGACATTTTGTTTATTAACAAGACATTAAATGTTAAAATAATGTAAAGACTGAGACTACTGTACATTCCCCACATCTGTGAATACAGCTTAATAAGCCTTTCACTGTTATTCTTTTATATGCAGATGCAGCCACCTAGAATTTATATAAAAATGTGTGCCAGTGGAAAGCACACTACACTAGTGCGCATCTCGAAAAGAGTAGGGGTGTAACCCCGGTGTCCTGGCCAAATTTCCAATTGGCCCTTACCAATCATGGCCTCCTAATAATCCCCCTCTATGAATTGGCTAAATTACTCTGCTCTCCTCCCCACTGATAGCCGATGTGTGGTGAGCGTTCTGGCGCACTATGGCTGCCGTCGCATCATCCAGGTGGATGCTGCACATTGGTGGTGGTGGAGGGGAGTCCCCATTACCTGTAAAGTGCTTTGAGTGGAGTGTCCAGAAAAGCACTATATAAGTGTAAGCAATTATTATTATTATTATTATTATTATTATTATTATTATTACTACTACTACTACAGTATATACTACAGTTTTGTCCAGTATGCCACTTTCAGCTCTTCACTGCTCAAAACAGATCAATAGGTGTTGTGTTAGATGTTACTAAAACAGTAGCTTAATTTAATCTGCTTTTCCTTAGTCATTCAATCATATATTTTCAAGAAATAACATATTTCATGGTTACTTTGTGATTGCATTTGGAATTGTCACTGTGGTAGTGATGTTGAAAATGTATGTACAACTAAAAACAACAAATAATTTTGATTTGACATAGTACCTATTGGTCTTTCTGACACACTTGCTAAAAATTATTGAATCTCACTACACACCATTTTCTCAGAAGCCAAAAAATAAAATAAAAAACATTCATGGGCCATTAAATAAATGTACACTGTGCATTCAGGTCAGGTACAGTACCATAATGTATTGTGCTGTGCAAAAGCTTCAAGCATCTTAGACATGAACATGCGTTCTAATACGTGTACAAGTTGTGAGCAACTTTTTAAAAAACCTTCATTGTTTTTTTTGCCTATGAAAACATTGTTGAGGAATGAAGGAGGGCTTGAGGTTAGCACTGTTAATGCACAACTTGGATCGTGGGTTTGATTTGATTGTTAGCATGTTCTCCCCGTGATTGTGCAGGTTTTCACTACCCGATTCCTCCGGGTTTTCTCCCTCCATCCAAAGACAATATACGTGCATTGGTATCTCTTAATTGTCCTTGTGTGTATACTCTGTGGTGGACCACCTTGTGTCCTATACTTCCAGGACAGACTCAGGTTTGCTGCAACCCATACCAGGAATATTGTAATAATGGATGAACAGATAACTTTATTAATACTGCTTAGTTTGGGTGAGATCCACAATGATAAGACTTAAACTGCAAAATACAGTACAGACCTCAACTATGAGATAGAGGATTGACATAAAATTGTGTTCTTGCATAAAGAAGGTAAAACACTTCCTGTACACAGTGAAACAATACAAAATGTCCAATATTTTTGTAAAGCAATGTAAGTGATCAATATCTAAACTGTCCACCACTGATGTCAAACATAAGAATTGCTCTTCAATCTATAAAGCACCTGCAAGATCAACCCATCCCAAAGGTGACTGATTAGATTGTTTTGCTGCCTGGTGGCACTGAATCAAGACATTAACTATGTAGTAATTAGATACCAGAAATTCAGTTGTCTAGTTTGTTACAGTTGACATCCATCTCCCAGATGGCGCTCCATTTTACTCCTGTCAAAAGGTCCCTGTGATGGTTTATATGTTTTCCAGGTGTGTGTTGTTGTGTCTACCCCTATACAGTCTCACAATCACTGTTACTTTACTGCACCATTAATAAACCCCTGTGTGTCTTCCCGTACTCCACCTCCTGTCTCCTTCAATTCTTACCGCTTTGCATAGGGTCTAACATAACATCCGACATGGACTATAGAGCCTGTCCATAACACAATGACTGTAAGCTTGCTATAGTGCTTTTCACGTTGCCCACTTGTGTGCAGTCTTAATTATTGTTATGCATACAGATTCCCTTAGATGGTCCTTCATGGATCAATGCACATGACTGATTCAGGTCTGGGTCAATCACAGGTGCCTCTGTTCAGCTGATAGTGCTCTGAAATTTTGTAATGGATGAATGGATCTTTAATATCCTTGTGACCTAACATTTCAATATTTCTTCCAACTACATTCCCACATATACAGTAACATGTACCCTATATCATTCACTAAGTAGTAGCATCTGCCCCAAGTCATTAAAACTAACAGATTAAGACATGGTGTGTATGTTTGTAAACATCAATTATGCACATGCAAACTCACGTGCACACATTTCTTATCTATGGTAGAGGATATGAACACCATACACACAAAAATGGCTGGTATGTTTACAGGACGTTTTCTGCATTTTATTGAACAAAAGCTTTGTAAGTTAAAAAAAGAACATAAGTTGTATTCAAAATAAGAGCCACAATCTGTTTAGGAGAGAGTGACCACCACTAAACCTTGCCTGCTACAAACTACTTTAAGTATTACATGCACATTTTAGACATTCAGGGTAAACCGAAACGAACTGAAAGCAGCACACTAACTGGAGTTAAACCTGTGTATACTGTAGTATGTAGCTCAGTGCTGAACTAAAGTGCTACAAAAAATAAAAACAATTGCAACAAACTTGGTCATTGAAATTAATTGCAGTTAACCTAAAGTAACAGCTTTAGGTTTAGCTGCTGTCCTCTAGAGTTTACTAAAGTTGGGTACTAACTTAAACCACCTCTTCAAATGATTTAAGCAACTTATTAGCATACTAAGTGGAACACTGGATCACATTAGAATGTTCCCAAATATAATGGAAATAATATTGTCCCCAAATAATGAATTTATGCATCCATTGCTTGAAAATTATTGTAATACTTAATCACAATTGTTGTCACACCACATTTCTTAATAATGATGTTTACCACATTTATTAATTTTTTTAATGTATTAATACAGATAATGAAGTTTAATGAAGTTTAATGTCTATTAGTAGCCGTATTAATGTTACTGCATGCAGAGCCTATAGTATGTGATAGTGAATTTTAAGTTTACCCTAGAGAGTGAAGAGAACTGAAGTTAAGAAATACATATTTAAGTCGAGTGTAGAGAGAATAAATTGTATTGCGGGCATTTGTAAGGGTACGATGAAGAAAAACTCTTCGCATTCTCCTGTGGACGTGATTCAAATGGTGTTGAAACAGACGGAATTGTCAGAGAACCGATAGGTAGAAAAGGAGGATCCTTATGCATAGCCATGAATCCTGCAGAATGTAGAGTAGCACAGGGACAATATCCAAAACACGTAATCCAGAGGCTTGGTCGATAGGAGAAGCAATGAGTCTGGTAACCAGGGAAATCCAAGAAAGACAATCTGAAAAACGATATCCAAAGAGCGTGGTCGAAAAAGGCTTAAAAGAAAAGATTAGGAACCAGGAGATCAGTCAAGAAGGTTTAAACGCACACAAGAGAATACTAGGGGAGGCTTCTCAATAGTGAGCATGGGTTGGTGTGTGAGGGAACTTTAAATACTGAAGGGAAAGGAATGTGGTTGGATAATCGGTCCGGGAGTGAGAATCTGTAGCATCTGGTCCATGTGAGAAAGTTATGGGTTCAGTTAGGGATCGTGAAACAATGGGTTTGGGAATGTGTTGGCATTTGTGAGGGAGAGTGTGGGGTATGACAGGAATATTCGGAATGCTTTGGAGACAAACTGGTGGGTCATCCCAGTCAAGAGCAAGGTTGTGTAGGAGTTCACAAGCCACAATGATGTTGCTGGCTCTATGTATGCAGACCAAATGAGAGAAATGAAAGTAAAGCACTGTTTTGAAATTCTAAAGGCCCATGAGGTCAGAACAATGATAAACTGAAATGACTTGAAAAGATCTGTTACAGATGTCTCCTAGGTTTACCTTTTTAGAGCTCCCATATGTCTGCCCCTTATATTAATGCTACTTCTGATTAAAGAATAAAGTTGTTGATACTACTGGACATTAGCTTGTGCTTTCTGTAACAAATAACTAAATCCACTGTAAGGAATATACAGTGCAGTACATGCCTTAGTCAGTCATCTCACTATCCACTAATCCACTAAAAAACTCTTGAGATGAACAGCAACCAGTGTAGCCTCTGAAAGTGCATAGCACTTACCTTTATAATATTGCAGACACAAATGTAGCCTATACATGAAACTGAAACAGCGAGCAATTTGAGCTAAGTTCGAGCTAATTAGAATAACAATAATGCAGAGTCCTTATCACCACACTAAGAACAATTTCAGCTGGTCTCCAACTTTGTTTCACATGTTTTTTTCTGTGCAGATGAGCTCAAAGCTGGAGATGATCTCCATGAAGGACAGTATTAACTAGGACAGTATTATCCGAAAGTTCATTACAATTGACTCTCATAGTCTTTCTCCCAAAGAGCAACAATATCAGTAACAC